TGAGCAAAGAGTATGGCTTTACCTCCTTCAGAAAACGGAATTATTTCTTTCCTCTAAATTCAGGAAGAAGTGGGAAGTGATTATGAGGATGTATGGATAGCAGGTTGAATACTTACAAAATATGTTAGATCCCAAAAAGGAATTTGGCTTGCCTATATGGGATTTTCAAAGAAGTGATGCTTTTTGATAGCCCCCTATTGAGCTCAAGGTTGAGAGGGGGATAATGTAAAATTTAGAGAAGGCCTTATTTTCTTCTCTAATGCTTCCAAAGTCTTTGTAAAACTATACTAAGCAGATTTCTTCTCTTCTTTAATCTGATCTACATGAAAAGTACAAGCAGCAGGATTAAAAATTTTTGGATACCTAAGCCAACATCTCTGCTCTCTGCTGAGTCTCCTGACACTTTAGAAATGGATAAGTTTGACAAATGGTTTTCAATAGACATTTCCCTTCCTTTCTTTTTTAGAGCTGCCAACCAAAGAGCCTCAAGTTATTTGGATCACATTCAGAAGCCTGGGTATTGAAAACAGCTTCCTAGTTCAATGCACTCCATCATTTTAACATCAAGAAAGATCTCGCTAAAGACAGTAATAAAGACAAGCAGCAGACTGAGACACATTCTGCTGGACCTTCCCACACATAAGGTCAGTGCTTCAAAAGGCCTTTATAGGGGAAATCAACTTATTCAACTGTGCTGTACCAGGTGAGATTATATTTTTCATTTCTAGAAAAAAATTGCTTCCTATAATTTGACATACAAAAAAAAAAATCAGGCTGTATTTTTGTCAAGTTAAAAACCTATTTCATTTATTGGGGTGATGTTGGTTTGTACAATTATATAGGCTTCAAATATATAATTCTATGATATATCTGTACTATATTGTATTGTGAGCCCATCACCAATATCTGTACTATATTGTATTGTGAGCCCATCACCAATACAGTTAACCAATGTCACCCCAATAAATTTAAGCAAAAACTTCTGAAATGGTTTTTTTTTCTTTTTCTTTTTTTAAATTTTAATTTGCCTTATGTCACATATCCAGCTATAACATCAAAGTTCTATAACATCAAAGTTCTAGTAATTGATAAAAAAACAAACAAACTAGTTTTCACTTAAAAAACTCTAAAGGCAGAAGGAATTTGAGACTGAGAAGCATTTCATTCCTCTTAGCTCATCCCTCATTACTGCCTCTGAGATTTCATTGGACATTTCATTTGATTGGGACTAGTCTCTCAGCAATATAACACTTCTTCAGGGAAGGCAGGATACAATTCCCAGGAATTCTCAGATAAAATTAATTACAACTGTCAGGTCAAACACAGGCCTCACGACCAAGCAACATGATGTTTTCCCTTTTGTTATTGTTTTTATAAGCTTCCAAATGTGCAGACAAACGTGCAGACAAACATATAGAGAGCCATTTCATTATCAAGCATGCTAAATTTTCAAAACCACAAGAAAGGACTTTCTAATAATACAGCATTGCCCCATGATGATTCGGCTACAGGATACCTTTATAATCAGACGCCGGCGAATAACTCGGGTAGTGACTCTCCGTTCCTCCTCTGAGCTTGAATCACTCTCACTGTTATACAAGTCCTGATAAATGTATTTTTAGCATAATTTTACCATCACATTTAAAATAAAAGACATTCTGAGAAGGGAAATCAAAAAAGAATTACTTTTACTTGCTGGTTTCCCCTCCTCTAAGGAAAATTGTGCTGTATATTTGTGAAAACGTTTTTAAAAATTTCAGTGAAAGAAAATTTTGAGCAGGATTCTAAGGGAAACTACTCTGTATATGTATATGTATGCATAAATGTGTGAATCTAATTAATATGGTCTTTACCTGCATATATATTTGATAAAGACCAAGGTAAATAAATGATAAAATATTAAAAATAACAATTTTAGAGACTTTTGGCATCAGAAAGTAAATCTACTAATTATTAGTTTGAGGAAACATTAATATTTTTAACTAGTTTTAAATCTATATACATTTGATTTAAATGTATAATCTTATAGTTCAGTCCTGTTTTAGTTAATCTACAGAAAAAGGCATGGTATTGGATTTTTATGAAATTTTGGCCAGATTTGACAAATTTACAAAAAGTAAAGAATGATGTGAGTATAATTGGTATCTAGTAAGAGTTTACTCAAATAAATAAACGAATAAGGTAAAACATGTCAAAATATTAGATCTTATTTAAAGAACTAATATGAAATTATGATTAGAAAACACATTAACAGACAAGCACATGGTAGAGACAGAATACAGTAACTAAACAAATGCTAATTTTTAGGCAATAAGGATAAGAATATGGAAAAAACTGCCAAGTGGCAATCAGTTCACATTTCAAAGGGAAAAATATTTTTGGCTTCTAATTAAATGTCATGGTGAAAAATATTTACTGAATGATTTTATTTCTAAATTTTAATAAAATAATTCTGAAATTTTATTTTCTAAGTTTATTAATTACCTCAAGTTTGACAGTATTGGAGTTAAAAGTTGTAGTTAATATCCATTAGAAAAATCAATGGCAGTATTGATAATAAAAGAAAAACAAGTAAAATTATTATGGGAAGTATAAGTGCTAGCTAAAATGATTAATGAAACATTAGTCAAATAGATAATATAATATCAACCTTGACTTTGTCTGAAAGTTATGTGAACAAAACATCCTACTGAATAATATATAGTGTCAAATGGAAACCGTTTTTGAGTTTCTTATACTTTGCAAAGATATTGCTTGCTAAGTTTCCTATTACTTTTTAAAGTTCATTAGAAAAGGACCATAAATTCAGGACATTTAAAATGACCTTTTATTGTTAAAGGAGGCCCTGCAATGGCTCCAGAAGGCAGAAAAAGGTAAGAGGAATTCATATTGTGAAAGGAAAAAGGTACTAATCAGCATTCAAGGATTAGTAAGTTAGATGAGGCAAAGGGAGAATTCAGTCAGAATTAACCATCCACAGAATCGTAAACTGGGGAACAGATACTAATGCAAACACTAATAACAACTCTAGATGTTAAATTACATCATAATCCTATCAATCATCATCTAAGATCAGCCCCTCACATAAATAAAAACTGGCCATTTGGCCAATGTTTTAGTTTCCACTCTTTACTGGAGTTGATGCTAATCTTAAGGTGAAGGGCTGACAGGATGTAGTAAGGAGGACCTCCTCAGGATCTCTTTTGGAGAATTCCCTACGAATTGGTAAACAGCGTTAACTAAGAGGTCAAAGGGAATTTTCTCAGTGCTCCTTGCCATGGGTTGCTGCACGGAAAGGGGCAGAAAAGAACAGAATTTTACCTTGTAACAGCACGCAGTCATTCGTGTAAGAGCTGCACCCGGACTTTTGACCTGATTATTTAGGGAACAAAAAGGGGGCTGTTTCTGAAATCATACATCAGATGGCCTCGTTGGTTGCTATTGTCCTATGATCTAGTCACAAAAGACCCATCCGAACATCTTTGGGTTTCTTGTGAGGTCAGGCTCATATCTACCAGAAGCTTGAACTCCATTATGAATTTTTATGCTCAAAAAGTCTTTATGCATTAGAGAGGGACCCATGACCAACACCAAAGGCATAAACTCATTTATTAAAAATGTTGCAAACATTTTCTAGTAGTGACTATTTTCCATGCTGGTGAACTCAGCTGGGATTCCTTCCAGGGTTAAGACTTTGTTTTAAAACCCTCTTTATGCCTTCTCCCTGGTTCCCCAGTAGCCAATCTGTATGCACACTGTATACACATAGAAGTGCTTACTTATACTTGTATTTCAGTACTTTCTATTGATTTTAATAGGCTCTTGCACATGTTCATAGTTAAAAAACCAGAATGTTATTGTGTGGGCTCATTTTTAAAAGGGAATATTTTACTCAAAATCATACTGCTTACATAAGCCAAGAGTTAACTAAAAGACAGAAATTGATATTCAAAACCCCACTTGTCAGGAAAGAAGTGGAGAGAGACCTAACAATTTTACTTTCTTTCCCTTTCCTTCTAAACAAGCAGGAAAATGGTCAAAAGATAGTCTGCAGAAGGGAAAAGGAGAGGATATTAGTCAATAAGCTGACAATTAGCTCCTCAGTGATTGGGAGTTTATATATTTTTAAACATCATATTAATCCTGGACTCATTATTTGACAAAAGAAAACTAGATGTTTTAAGGAAAATGACAAGTACTGTTATTCCAAAGATGTATAATTCTTAATCTATGTCTACTACATAGTTCATGAAAAGACATAAAATTTGAGAACAAAAAAAAATAAGCTCTATTTTCTCATATCCATCTATGAATCATAATTTCAAACTTTTTAAATATCTAAAAATGATAAATCTCAATGAATTAAAAAAAACTATTAAGATAGTATCACCAAAACATACAAGTACAAACAGCAAGCAAATAATTCTGTGGCAGTAGGTTTTAAAATTATTGAAAACAAATATTAAGATAATTATCAACGTAGATATAAAAATTATTAAAGTGATTCTTCTTACTTTAAATTTCTCAATGCTGTCAACCAACAGTGGTATATACACATATCCTTTTAGGCATGTACCTTCAAATTTTAAAGCACACTTTCAAACAACTGACCTTATGGGGTAGAACTTTTAAATGGGATGAGTGCTAAATTATGCAAAAGAACCAGAAAGAGTCAGAACAATTACCCTCCTTGCATAGGAAAGAAGATTAGATTGGAAGTGAGGAAACTTAAATCCCAGAAAAAGTAATACTGGACCTTAAGCTAGTTACTTAACATCTCTATGGTTCTTTTTCCTGTCCTATGAATGAAGATACAATCAAGTGGCTTATGTTTTACTCAGAACTTTCTTTACCCCCAACACCAGGGTTACAATTTTCAGTCACGCATTTATAATTTGGAAATAGTAAAGGACCTTGGGTCAATGCTACATTAATCAGAGAAAGCGAATCATCAATAACTTTCAGTTTAAAGGCCAGCATTCTGAATAAAGCTGACATACCTTTGGCTCAGACCCACTGGACCCCTCTTCTTCGTGGAGGTTAAGCCTTGGCTTGCCATCTGCAGGAGAAGTCCTACTCATCTTTTTCATACCGACAGGCACACAGGGTTTAGGTTCCTCTGTTACAAACTTGCTGGTTTCTTCCAGAGATTTCTGATATGCTGCTAGTGATGATGATGCTGGTTCCTCAACACGACCATATCCGTGTGGTTTTGGTCTCAGGGTTTCCTTAGGACTCTGTTTCCCTACATCATTTTGGGATTCTGGAAAGTAAGATTTCATCTTGGCTTCTGGAGTGACTTCTGCATGGTTCCCATTGGCTTCAAATTTCCCAGGTTCTCCTTTGAGATATGAGGTAATGGAATCTCTACATTGGTCTGGGCTGCAAAAGGTAAAACATAGAAATTTTACAATGGTAACACATGGATAGAAATGGGTCTAAATTTTTAACAACTACCCTGTTTCCCTGAAAATAAGACAGTGTCTTATATTAATTTTTTCTCCCAAAGTTGCGCTAGGTCTTATTTTCAGGGGATGTCTTATTTTTGGGGAAACACGGTATGTTTTGAACTACTTTTGAAGGCATAAAATAGAAAGGCCCAAGAACTCTTCTCACTGGATTTCAAACTGTGAGGGGTAGTCCTGGGTGTAGGGGAAAGGAGGTGCTACGCAGGCTCTAGGCAACTCCCAAGCTGGCTAGCTATGCTGTCATCGTTTGTGTTTTGTTTGATTGCACTTCTATAGCTGCTCAAATTCTATATCTTAAAAAGTAATTCTGAGCAGTTCATGGACCGCTCAGAGTTCCAGACCCACTAATTTAAAAGGAGAGGAGATATCTCAAAATGCCAGTGAAAAAACTGCTGATAAGGCACAAAACGAATTCCTATGATTGGTACATATACTATATTGCAAATCATTTAAAACACTCATGTATATAGAAAAAAGGATATTATATAAAATGTCTTTTCTTAGTACGGTAGAAAGACATATGGCTTTTCTTTTTATTTCTCGGTGTTTTCTGTTAAGACTTTAAAAAAAAATGTATGCAAAAAAAAAAAAAATCCACCAAAATGTTAATGGTGATAATGCAAACCCCACAATCTAGCAATAGATTTTTTTAAAATAAATCTGTATTTTTAAAATTTGAATAAGAAGCCTACTCATGTTTCCACTCAGGAAATAGAAATGTTTATAGTTCTTTAAAAGACACTAGAAAAGAGTAGTCTTCTAAAGTACAATGTACATCATTTTTTGGGCACATATTTAAAAACTTTTTGCACTACCTTCAGGCTTCCACAGTTTTAAGAATTATATTTGAGTTTAATGCAATTTTCCCTTTCTACATTAGCAAATGAACCTACCTTTAAAGCATGTATTATCCCCAAACTGAAATGGTCATGTAGAAATAGAGTAATTCTCAAAAAGCACATATTTAAAACAAACCACTAACATGCAACCTGTTTCATTTTCCTTTTTCTGAAACAGCCATACCTGTCATCCAGTCGATCTAGTAACCCACCAGTTATTCTTCGAGCTTGAGCCGGGGACTCTAGGTTTCCACTGGTCTCATTCTGCCAACCTGTAATTGAAGACATTTCCAGTTCTGCTTGCTGAACACGCTTAAGAATAGACTGTACTTTTTCTTCTGTCATCTCCTCAGACTCTACTCCTTCTTCAAGTTGAATGTCCTCAAATAGAGATTTGAGTTTTTCTTCTGTCATCTCCTCATCAGGACCAGATTTTCCTTTCTCTTGCTGCTCAGAGCTGACTCTTACTTTTCTAGTATGTTGCAGTGGCTCTGCTGGTTTAACATCTTTTGGAACCCCAGCCATACTTCCAAGGTATCCAGGATACTCACTCAGATATACATTCTCCAACTGGCTCTCATCTACATCGACTGCTTCGGGCATTTCTGTTATGGGCATTGAGTCTTCAAGTCTGCTGTCTTCTAAGGAAGTGTCTTCTGCAGTTACAACTGGAGGTCCATCTGCTGAATGCTCTACGTTTCCCCGGGAAGGCACTAGCCCATCACTCAGTCTACTGGGGGTTCTAAAGGGAGATTCTATGCTAGAGGTATCACTAAAATAATCATCTTGCTGGAAAGGGGTGGGTGGTGTATAGTGCAACCCTGTGGGAGTTTCCAGTTCCACTTGAAGGGAAGGATAACCTATGGAAGACAGTACATTTGGACTGACTGGAATGAATTACAAGCACATCAAACAAAAACACATGGAATGACTTAAATTATATCAGGTATGAAAATGTAGTATGAAGAATTACAGAATGATAAATTTATTGGTTTAGTTTAGTTAAATGCAATACAATGAAATAAAGGCTAGTGCAAACTATAATAAGATAGGATATTAAGATATAGATTGTTTCTATCAATTTTGGTAATTATAATAACTTAAATACACAGATTAATTTAATCCAATATAAAGTTATTTGCCACTATGTAAGATACATTTATTCCATGGCCAAATTTATTATTCAACTTTTAGCATATAAAATCCACATTTTGGTGGACTAAATACAAGCAAGCCACAAAATTTTTTTTTTTATAATTATAACTTATTTTAAGAACAGTGCATATGAGCGATTGTACCCAAGTCTAATTTTTACTTATTTCACATGAAATTTACAGCAAAGAAAAATGAATTTAATATTTGGAAATAAATGATTATTAGATTTTGGGAAAAAATTCTAAAACCATGTTATGAAAAGGATTTAAAAAGCAGATAAAGTAGAAAAGACTCTAAGTGTCAAAATGTGTCAGAGATGAAAGGAGTATGGTGTATATGGACATTTTGGTAAACTTGGTGAGATGGGTCCATTCAGAACCATGAATCAAATAAAGAGAAAAAGGAAATGGTACAACAGAGACAGGAGGAAAACCATCTGCAAAGAGGTCTGAATATTCACGACAGGGCTATGAAACACGGAGGTTTATTAACCAGATTACATAGAGGGGACGGAGGGAGCAGGTCTTATGTTTTAAACTGTGCTGCATGGGATAAGGGAATATTTTTCTCTTTGAGCAGAGAGAAAAGTCAACAATGGTCTGGTCTTGGTGAGGAAAGGAAGTTTTACAGAATTCCAATGAAGAGGAGAGACAGGAAAAAAAAAATGCAACCCAGCACATTTTCTGAATTATTAGTCTACAAAACTAAAGCCTCATTTTCCCATCAGTCCAAGGTAAATACCAACTTAACTTTTATTGTAAATTCAGATCACTATAGGTAGGTGAATATTTTCCTATTATGGTCACCTGTAGACCAGAATCTTGTTGAAAAGCTAAGATTAGCTGAGTTTTGGAATTTGTACAAGTGATATTTAATACACATATTCCTAAAATTTATCTGAGAATTCTTAAAACAAGGAATAGAAAATATTGAGATGTAGCAAAAGCCCTTCTGAATTTATTTAATATTCTGATTTTAAAATGTAAAATTAAATGCAGTTTTCAATTCCATTGTTACCTGGTGATCTTGTGTATCAGAGCTACTGTGCTTAAAAAATTTCCCATCAAAGAATAAATAATAAAAGATTTTATAAACTATAATTTGGCAATAATTCATCATTTGATATAACATAATATGTCCTTAGTGCAAAAACAGCTTGGTTACCAATACATGGTTTCACCTATAAGATAAGGCTTTAAAGGGAACTTTTTCCCAAGATACTCTGGTGTTTATAAACTTAAGGATAAATCTAAACTTAAGGATAAATCACTCTGACACTATTACCCATCATTCTTATGATACGTGGATAACAAGGTATGCTTTAAATTTTCTGTTGACTTTGAGAACTTTTGTCACATAATATGCAGAATTAGAAGTAATTGATTCTTGTTAGTCAAACTTTTCCAGTTTAAAACTGGAAAAAGACGCATCCTATTTTCCAAATCATGGAATAGTGGAAAAATATCACTAGTCCTTCTTCCTGCATCCACACCATTACCAACATTTGACTCAAAATTCATTATAGAAGTAAATTCCATTTGTGAAGGAAGATGAGCATCTTGAAAAAACAGAAGATATTTGTTATGCTTTCTTAATACTTTGATGAAAAAAAAGCTCAAATTTACGTAATGAAGGAAAAATTACAATATCTATAAATGGAGCTAATGTAAAAGACGAATTATGTTTTTAGAGACATCTATGCTCATTGAATTAGAAATTATGCTGCCTTTTATAAACTATATACCAAGTAGGATTTGTTCCCCCCACAAATAAATAGCACATGAAGATAAAACAATGCGAAATAAATACTTTTTTGAGCAACACATTAGACTTTTTCAGTACATACTTAAATACTAATGCTGAAAAACAGTTTTTCAGCATTTTACTTAACAATTTGTATACTATATGCTTAAACTTGACGCAACACCTTACTTACTTGGTAAAACAGCTCGCAATTTGGTTTTATCTATATAAAATAAACTAATTCACTAGTTTTTTAAGGTGTATGTGAAAATGACAAAAATTGTGTAGTCTCTAGATATTAAAACTCTCTCCCATTTGGTCACATAAAATATTTGAAATTGAACTCTTTCAGATAACATATGCTTTCATATCTCATTGTTCATGTTTTACATAACAGACATTTATCATTTGGTATATCAGAGTATATATTTGCAGACTTTGGCAGAAAAAAAATCCTGTGAAAATGAGAAATTAAGTCAAGCAAATCATCAGTTGACTGACTTCCCTGTTTTACTGCATTTTCAAATTTTATCAAATGATCAAGTAAATATGAACACTGGATTCAATTACCATCAACAGGGTCATGGAAAACATTGTTCTCATCTGCAAAACTTCTGGTGCCTGAAATATTTCCATAATCAAATATTGGTCCTTCTAGCAGAGTCACTATATCTATTCGGTTAATTTTTGTCAAGACCGAAGTTAAGGCATCAGCTGAAAAAGGAGGGGGGAAAAGAAGGTTGAAAATCCAAGGAAATTATTCCTTTCAGTCATCACAATATCCACACAAAGACATCACTTTTGCAACCATGCTGGCATTTTAGCTCTTCTTATTGTAGCTCTGAAAACCAGGAGGCCCAGCAAACTGGCCATTCAAGGGAAGATCTGTAAGTCTTAAGAATACCCTATAAAGCTGTGCTTGAAGACAGCAGCATTCATTCTATTGTAAGATGCAGAGCAGATGAGCCCCAAAATAGCAACATTCCTTTTAGTTATAAGGGGATCTCATAAAATTTTAAACATGTTCCTCTCCTTTCAGACTGTCAAAATAGGTCGCTCTCATATTTGATACTCAACAATTTAATGACTTACTAAAATCAGGCTGACCCTACAATAACTAATTCCGCATTGTTGTGGGTTGGCACTTGTCATAGTATAGCACCCCCCTATGCCACCCACAACAAAACAAACCCCAACAATATTAGAGAATTCTCTCCACCACAGACCAAACTGAATACAATGAGTTGATCCCCTAATTTGATCCTATTTTTCTCTGCCTCCCTGCACATCCATCTCTGACCATAGCAGTAACTTCATAGTGTTTGCCTACCACCCCATGATTTAACAGTTAATTATATTTTCACTTTGAATGGTCACAGACAGAACTAGACAAAAACGCCAAAAAAAAATTAAATAAATAAAATTCCCTACTATTTGCTTTCTGAAAGATTCCTAAAGATAGTTAGAATATTTGTACTAAATTAAACAAATATATGCACTAAATTAAACAAATATATTAACAGTAGGTTTATAGAAAATATTGGATATATGCAGTTATGAAAGTTAAAGTAATATAATTTCAGCATACTTGTAGCATTTTTTCCATCTCTTGTAACCCATTTTTTCAATAACATGAAGCTTTGAGAAATTAAAGAATTTGGATTTTCCACACGTATTTGATTGATTTCATCCACTGAAAAATTCAGTTCCCTTGCCAGTTCTGTAGAAAAGAAAAAGAGTTATTGAGATTTTTGTATTCTACTTTTATCACACGTATTTCATTAAAAAAAAATTACAGTAAAACCCAAGTACAGCCTTGGGCAATAATCATGATATACTTGATTTCACGGGAAAGTAGTGATCCTACATAGGCTGTGATTGAACTCTTACTTAGTTGCAATTAGATTATAGAGTTTATTGATATGCACAAAGATTTGTTGGATTCTTTTAATTCAGCCAAATTATTCTTTCAGTTTGAGCAAACTTCATACAAGATAGGTAGGGATATACAGTTCATAAGTATACGGCACAAGAGATGCTGGTGTTTTCCCTAGGCATTCTTCATGAAGTGCATCTTTTACTCAATATTCTACTCTATATGTCATCAAGTTGCATGAACTTCAGGCCAGATCACTGTCTATGATACGCTGCCACATGTACAAAAAATAAAGGGAGTTAACTTTCTATCTATCTAGATGTATACACTCAATCTTGTTTATGCAGAGTGTCTTTGGAAAGACATGTATGAGTAGTAGCTGCTTTAGTAGAGCGAAATGAGGAAGTCAAAGTTGAGAAGACTTATTTTTTGTACAATTAAAAAAAGATTTATCAGATATGTAGTACCTTAAATAATTATAAAAAGTAAGGAATGGTAAACATATCCTTCCATGAAAAATATTATATCCTGCTTAAGAAATTTTTTTTTTTAATTTTGGCTACTTTTGAGTTAATTAAAAGTATATATATTTTTATATTCAGTATTATTTTGTGTTAGTTTCAGGTATTCAGCATAGTGGTTAGACCATCATATTTCCAGCAATTTGTCAAAATGTATTTGGAGGCTTAAAAAAAGTCCATATCATGTGATTTTATTTCTAGAGATCGACCTTGACAATACTTAGGGTTGTACATAATGATTTAATTACATGAATGTTCACTGAAGGCTTGTACTACTAAAAAATTGAAAACAATGCAAGTGTTGAACAAAAGAGTTAATTAATGTAATGCAGAGGTTTGCAAACTTTTGATCAGAGCCTACAATAAGAAATATATTGTATATCATGGTGTTGCTATAAATGAAACTGATCTTTATGGAGCAAAACTAACCTTAATATATCTAATACACAGATGTCTTCTTTACCATCCTATTCCATTTAAAAACATAACCAAAGATGAATTGATTCTATGTGACCCACAGTTAGAACAACATCATTATATAAAGTATCTCTATTGGTTGTTATTGTTTAGCCATTAAAATCAAGATCAGAGAATATTTAATTTTGTAGAAACTATGTAATTGCAAATAAAAAAGCAGTAAGTTGCATGGTTAATATAACATTTAAAAGAGCGTTTTATAAAAAAAAAATCAAAGTTCATTAAAATTACTTAACAGTGATTCTGATGGACAGATTTAAATTTTGTTTTTATAAATGCTTCTTTTCCTAATAAGCTTTATTATCATATAGGAATTCAAATTTAAAAAGCTAAATTTGTTTTTAAGTTTTTCGTGTGTGTGTTTTTTTAAGTTCTTCAACTGTGTTTTAAGACAACTTACTTACTGCCCAACAAGCTCTCATAACTGAGCTATATCATTTGTCTAGACTCGATGGAAGCAAAGACACAGTCACTAAGAATTTTAGCGTTTTATGGCTTTATGTCTGTCTATTCTTACATCACATTTTCTCCAAAAATTTACTCTGAAAGAGAACCGGATTTGCTTATGGGAAAGAATCTAATAGTCATTGGCATACAATACTGCAAAATTAACATTGGTTCCAATTTATTTTCAGATTACAGTGTCCTATGGTAAAATATAAATACTATCTTTAATTTTATGTTAGCAAATGTTCACATACAACAGATTGTTATTAACTCTCAACCTGCAAGGGATTACTCAGACTATCACCAGCCTCCAGGGTATTAGCTGTATATCTGAGAGCAAAAACTGGGTGGAAAGAGAGAGGAGGGTTCAATATGTAGGAGGGGGAGGGACTTATGGCAGTCAAATGAAAATTATTTATATGATCTACTTTCATACTCTCCCTTTTAACAGCATAGATAATTATTTCCCTGAGTCTAGATGTATGTCATTGGTGGTATGACAATAATTGACACTTTAAACCATTATGTTTTATGGCTGTGAATTTAAACAAATACACTCATCCTACAGAACATTCCTTTTCTGCATAAATAGTTCCATTCATTTCACTATTTTTAAAAATTTTAATTGAAAATTTAAATTTACTATCATTCTTTTGCTTTCTTATGTGATTATTGAAAATGATCCTTGTTTTCCATATCAAAGTGATATGTTTTTCTTTAAATAAATATTTGAGCGTAAAATGAAATCAATTTACAACTATCAGCTAAATAAACAAATAATATGTCTATATCATAAAAATTGTGAAGATGACTCATGAATGATTAAAAACTTTTTAAACCTAGGCATGGATTAAGTTACCTGTTGCCTGAGAGAGTTGCTCTAAGAGCATAAACCAGGGGTGGGGAACCTTTCTCTGCCAAGGGACATTTGGGTATTTAGAATATCATTCTCAAGCTATACAAAATTATCAATTTAAAAATTAGCCTGCTGTATTTGGTCAAACATTTAATTAATGCACCCCTAATGCCTTGGCAGGGCCAGACCAAATGATTTCGCAGGCCTTATACAGACCACGGGCTGGAGGTTTCCCACCCCTGGCATGTTTGAAATTTTTTAAATTACTTAAAAGTCCTAGCCTTAGCACATTTTCTTTTATGCCACAAAATAAATTTCCTCCTAAATAAAAAGTTATCCTATATTATCAGAAACGACATTGTGAGGTAGTGCTAACATTCAAGGTGAAATTTTTAAGATTTAAATTTTATCCTTCAGTGACTATGCATAAGAAAAAGCCTTGAAAAACATAGTATATAGTACTATCAATAATTATTTCTGGGTAGATCAGATTATAATATTTTTTACTCATTGCTTGGTTATTTATTTATTTATTTATTTATTTTTAATAATCAACTGCTTGTGAATAAGACAAAGAATTTAAGAAATTATCTGTTTCATTCAGGTTTATACACTTACCTGTCCAACTAAGTCCCAGGTGATCGGCTACTATTGCCATCCTGATATCTGTCCGTTCACAGGGACTCTGTGGACCTACGATTTACAATTTCTTAATTAAAATAATCATAAAGAAAAACAGGATACTGGAAAATTGCTTTGAGCAGTATACTCAGATTTTACAGAGAGACTAAAGCTAACACTGTACACTTAAATGTGTCCTAATCACCTACATGAACACCTCTTTTCACAGGACTCACTTGATTTTCACCTGCATCAGGCCAAATGTCAGACTACATGGATGCTCAATGTAATGGGATTGAACATGCTGACAGGCTAGCTACTTTACAACAGTTACAGAAGTGTTGTGTTGGTGAAAACGCCATGATGGGGTTTCAACATCTGTGCTTTCACTTTGACAGAATCATATCCGTAAGCACATTAAAAAGGAAGAAAAGCTGCTCATGACACCAATATCTTCAGCATGCTTCCCTGAGCTGTCTACGGCGTGGTTTGGTTAAAGGGAAGAAAGAGGAGTGTAGAGACAGCACACACAGATGACAATGACAGAATGAGAAACTACGGTTAAGTCACTCCACAGGCAATCACGACAGTTCATGCACTAGGGTTCTACGGGTTGGAAAGTGTTTACAAGCTAGGCTCCTTCTCCAGGATGTGAGCAAAGAGCGCTCGAGAAACCTGACTGCCTTCATTCTCACCAGTCCTCCTACTGCTCCTTTTCTCACTGCCGGCCTTTTCACTCTTTGATTTTAAAGGCGCTGCCTCTGTTTTCTTATCTCTAGCGGACTTCGTGGTAACTGAAGGCTGGCCACCCCGGGAACTCTCGGACAACGACGTGTTTCTGGAGGTACTGTCTTCCTCATCCGACACCTCGGACTGCATCTTTTTTTCTTCTTCAGAGAGGCGGTCCACAAGCTTTAGGGTCTCACCACTAATGCCCTTAAAATATTCAATGGAATGTTTACAGGCTTCCTTAAGCTGACTCTTCCTGACTTGAACTGTGGTGGCGGCACTGGAGGTGGTGGCACAGGTGGGTCTTACCTTTACTGGCAACTTGGACGGAAGCTGTTTGGCCTTGTCTTTCTCTGGCTGCCCTTGCTTTTGTGGGGGGCATGCTTTTCTACCTGGAGCTGGGTTACCCCTGTGTGTGTTTTTTACTGGAATTCTGGACTTTACGTCTAGACAGGAAGAAGAGGTACGGGTTTTGGTTTTCTCAGGTGGACTAACCTGCTTCGCTCTACTCACTTTCATGTTTGGCATATGATTTGGTGGGAAGGTATCTTTGCATGAAGTGGCCTTTATGGGAAGTTTGGATTTTGGCCTAACCCCTACCGGTGCCTGTGTCTTTTGCTGCTCTCCAAGCACTTTCTGCTTCTCTCTCACACAGTGTCCCTGGAGCACCCCTGCCTTTTTTCCTGGCGAGCTTTTCACTGGGTTAGCTTTCTCTGTGGCACGAGTGGGTGCGGCGTGTTCTGTCAGAGCTACGTTACTTGTAATGTGATCTGTCTGGGTAGTGGAGGAATCCAAATTGTTGTTGTTATTAAAGTTATCTTTTTGAAAACCGTGTTTTTCCTGGGGCCTACCACCCATGTGGCTATCGGCTGAATTGGAAACCGCTGTGACAGCTTCATTGTCTAATCCCTGACAACTGGTCATCACAGCTTCTATCTTATCTGCGACTTCTCCAGGGCCTTCTTTCTTCATGGTCATGGTGGACGCAGAAATCCCCATTTTTATAGGCGTGCGCAACTTGGGGTCAACTTTCAAGGTGTTAGTGGCTGCTGCTGACTTCTCCAGGGAGGCACTACTGGGCGTGCCTTCCTGACACTCTCCGCTGGCGGGGATGCTGGGTTTAGGTTCGACCGCAGGTGCCTCTACATTTCTCTCTAGATTGGTTTCTACAGTGGTGTCCCCTGACTGTGGCTGTGGTGGGGCAGTGACCGTACTTTTATCCCCTTCCCCCTGGTCCCCTGACTTCCCTTCAGAAGTATGCTCACCAATCTGGAAAAATTGGAGCCTCTCTTCAACAAAATCCCTCTTGCTCATGTCAATTGCACCACTGCGAGTCATCTCAAACATTTTTCCTTCATGAAATGGGAAGGGGTTAGGCTCACTAGTTGGGGTACTTTCATCGGTTGGCGTTCTGGCGGGCGTTGTATCGGGGGTTGTGGCTGGAGAGCGGTCTTCCACAGCCAGACCGAATGGCTTAGTTTCATCTTCCCGGGATTTACTGTCAAAAACTTCATCATCCCCTCGGCTACTAGACCAAGGGTCAAAATCTAGACCTTTGGTAGCTACTGTTTTAAAAGGAGTGGCGAATTCTTCATCTACTTTGTAACTGAAATAAGTATCAGGAAACACTGATCTGTCAGGATGTCTGCCTTCCAGGGTGAAAAACTGGGCCCCCGACTTCTGATCAGTCTTATCAGGAGTTTTTTCGGAGGAAGAACTTTTCGAAGATGGCTTATCTTCCTCTGGTCCCACCCTTCCCTCTTCCTCAATGACTTCAAGTTTGCTTTGGCTAAAGGAGCGGTCGGCTGGCTTCAGAATGCCCTCCGTGTTCCAGATGTCTTTCTTAATTTCCATGGCCTGGCTTGGGAGCTTGGAATCACTCTCCGTCAAGCCGTCATCTTCATCTTGCAGGTCGTAGCCATCAAGAGAGTCGATCTCTGTGGCATCTGTGTCGTGCGAAAACTCGGCCGTGGTAGCAATGGAGCACTCGGTGATGGACTGGTCATTGTTCCCATTCTGGGCAGTTTCATTCTGAGGCGATTCAAGGCCAAACTCATGATCTTTTCCAGACCCGTTCGTTTCTAATTCCTTCTGGTTGGAAGCCTTTTCAGCAGAAGCCTTGGGTTTTGCCGTTTCCTTTTGATCACCGTCTGCTTCCTTTAACTTGAAGGTGTATTTTTTAACTGGGACCGGTTGGTAAAGCGACTCATCATCGCTCGAATCACTGACGTCTGCCCCAGGAGGAACCGGAGAGGGGGGCTGCACTCGGATGACGGGCTCAGCCAGCTGGCACTTGTCATGCTCATCTTGCAGACTGACTTCGGTCATGCCAGCCTCTCTTTCGGGCAGGTAGAGAGTCCCCTCCGACTCAATCTGGTCGGCATCCAGCGGCGGAGGAGGGGGGAACTCGATATAGGCAACTCTGTTGGTTTTGGGTCTTTGGTTAGAGTCCTTGCTCACACTGCTAGGCATTTCGCGTGCGCCTATGACCTCCTCCACCGTAGTCTGCTTTAGGGAGGACGACTTGCCCTGCTCCTCCTCCTCCGATTCCTCAGAAACCTCGGGAATTGGGCTGGGTTTACCTGGTATGTAAGCTATCAGTGAGTCTGGCGTCTTAGACGTAAATTCATAACTCACTTCCTCTGAACTGGGTGTTTCTGGTGTTAAAGGGCTTTTCCCAGAGCTGTCTAGGAAGGAAACTTGCTCTAGAGTGTCATCTTCTGGGCTACCTTGGGGAGAAGGAGGCTGCTTTTGCTGTCTAGTTGTATAAAAGGTCCCCCTGGTCTCTTGGACTGTCTTACACTCCTGGCTGATGATTTTTTTTACACTTCCTTGTTGAATCTCCTTTTCATATTGCTTCCCCACCTGCACAAAACTGACATACACAGGTAGAGTTTTTATCTCTTTCCCTCCCTCGGACGGGGCTAGTGGTGCAGCTTTTTCCAATCCGTCAATGGGACTGTGGTCGAACACTTCGCTAGAGGGAGATTCTTTTCCTGGGCTAAAGTCTAATGAATCAGGAGATTTGGTGGGGGAGCTTTCCGTCTCATCGAGAGAGGGGCATAGGCCTACATAGCTCTGATGTTTGGAAACTTTGCTGATTTCTGAATAGGTAACTTTCTCTTCTTCTAGAGCGTTAAAGTGCTGTGACTCCACTGTCTCTCTGTGACTCGACTGGGGTGACTTTTGTGGTAGATCGTGCTTTGGAAATGGCGACTGCTCACGAAAACCAACGGGAACGTTAGAAGATGGCCCTCTCCGCTCATTGGCCATCCTGACCGGGATGTGCGACACCGCCAGGCTCTCGCTTCTCCTCGGAGGTTGGTCGAGAGCCCCGCCAGGACGGTCCCCTTCTTTCACGACATATTCCCTGTATAAGACCTTTTTGGAGGGAGATTTTACAGTCATTTCCTTCACTTCTGAGAGAGAGCCATTGGTTAACAATTTGTGTTCTCTCTCAGTCACAGACACAAAGTCACTCCTGTGGTCAACCATTTTACTCTCGGGGTGACCCGTGTGATTCTCCCTTCCATCATGAACAAGCACATGCGAAAGCTTTTCTTTCTGCAGCTTATTGTTAGCGGCTCCAGAACTTTCCCACGTTCTAAAGACCTTTTTGTCCCAGGGTCCCTTAGTTGCTAAATCTGAGGTCACGTGACATGCCACGTCTTTGGCCTGTTGCTCAGAAAAAGAGTCAGGCACCGCTGTACTTGACATTTCAGTCCTCTGTCTTTTCACATCATCAGAGCCAGAATCATTGACAACCAGGTCACTGCTTTGCTTGGGCTCATCTTTAGCTTTTAATATCATAAAATCTTTCTGGGCAGGTACTCTTTCGTCTGAGAGGTCTATGGCCTTCTGCTGTTTCTCTCTAGCAAAAAGCTGGTAGACAGGTAGCTTGCTCTCCTGCATTTTTTTAACTGGGATTCTGGAATGGCCATCTGGCCTCTTGTCCTCTTGAGTGGCGTCCTTACTTTTGGCCTGTGCGCCTTGTTCAAATTTTAATCTAATGGAGCTCAGTTTAGATTGTTTGAGCTGAAACCCAGACTGGGGCCCTTCTGGTGCTTTGCCCTGTGGCACGCCTCCTGGGGCTTCCTCCGCGGACTTGCTGTCCTCAGTCTGTTGGGACAGAACCTTCTTCTCCGGGCTGCTGGGCAGACTGGACGCTTTCCTCTCACTGGCTCTGGGGAGGCCTTGCCCATCATGGGCATGATGCCTCGCCTTAACCCACTCATCGTTGGATGCCAACAGTTCTGTCAGCAGTACTTTCTCGGGGCTGCTACTGGTAGAGCTTTGAGAAGAGTATTCTTTGCCATTTCTGGGGCGTGCCTTTTTCTCTGGGG